GGGGGGGGGGGGTGTTGACCTATCCTGTTTCTTCTCCATCCAGTTCCTTCAAAGGCTTCTATTCCTTTTGTCTTCTCTTCCATCCTGATAACTTCATTTTTAAAGCAATTTTCCCCCACAGATTTTGCATTTTTATTATGTGCTTTTCTGGGGTCATCTCCTTTTTTATGCTCTAGGCACTAAATGATTTATGATTTATTATCAATGAATGTCATTCACATTTTACATAAACCTATTACATGTTACTCTGCTATGGATTTTCATTCTTGCTGTATACTAATTGTATGCCTTTTATTATCCATACATACAAAGAATCCTTATTATAAATATTTAGCATTGCAAAGATATTTTATTAAATCTTTGACCTCACAAGTGAACAAAACAAACAACCCCCACTCCTCCTCCCCAACACACAAGGATTGCATCTAAAAGGCAGGTGGTCTAAACTGCTAAAAGAAAGCAAAGTGAAATTAATAGCATGCAGTACTTGTTTAACTGTTAACCCAGCTGGTGGTATAAGCATCACTTCTTTCATTAATTTCACTTTTCCAGGTGATGATTTTCCACAGCTTAAAAGAGTGACCATTGGTAGGGACACAGTCAATTCCTTAGGCAAATCCTGAAATAGAGAAAGTTGTAAACAGATAAGAAGTGCCATACTGGGTCAGACCAATGGTCCATTTATTTCAATATTCTGTCTCTAAAAGTGGTGGGATTGGATGCTTTAGAGGGAGAGCATTGAACTGGGTATATCTGAACTGATCTGTTCCCGGTTCATTACCCTTCCTGGCATCCACCATCATAGCTTTAGAAATGCCACAGGAAACGTTGTCAACTGTTCTGTTTAATAGCTGATAATATATCTGTTATCCATTAATTTTAGTCCCTTTTTTGAACCAGGCTATACTATGTGCCTCTATAAACTCCTGTACAATTAATTTCAGAAGTGAACTATACATTGCATAGAAAGTACTTTCTCTTGTTAGTTTTAAACCAGTCTCCTATTAATTTCAATTTGCCCCCTAGTTCTAGTAGTGTAGGACTTAAGTGGGTGCATCTACACGTGAAATTAAGGCAAAGCAATAAGCTCCAGAGTGTTCGAGCCAGAGTAAACTGCTCCCAGGTGCAGTGTCTACATATGCACCCAGGACAGCAGCAATTTGAGCTGGGATGGAGCAGGCCCAGGCTAGCAAGAGGTACAGGGGTCAGCCCCAGGCTCTGGGCTGTGGTGAGGCAGCAGAGGGACTGGTTGGGGTACAAAGGTGCAGAACCTGCGGAGCTGTGTGGCTAAGCAGCAGCCAGGAGTCTGGCCCCTGCCCAGTCACCATCTACATATGCGTTTCAGTGCATTTAATTACTCTGCCGTAAGGTAGTACTGTCCCCGGTAGAGTTGACTAGTTTACTGAGCCCTAATACTGGCGCGCACGTAAATGGTGATGCTTTACTACTGAGCTAATTAGTCTACTCCACAGAAAAGTGCATGTGTAGATGCACCCAGCAAATAACAGATCACTAGTCACTTTGTCCACACTTTTCGTGATTTTATAGACTTCATCATGTGAATGCCATGAAATTAAGAATATTTAATTATTAACTAAATGTTTCCCAGTTTAGCTTCATTATATCATGGTTCCAATCCAAAACCCATTAAAGTCGATAGAAATGTTCCTTCCAGTGATTTGAATGTCCTGCAGATCAGGTGGCAAGGAGTTATATAAATACGGAATGTCAAACCACATTGCTTTTAACTAAACATTCCTGAAGTACAGAACTCAGTAATAATTACAACTGTGACAAAAAGAAGAAAAATCAAAATAATGGCAAGTACCTGATCATGTTTCAGCCATGCAATGTGCGAGTATAAAGGTGTGTGGTCAACGGTTGCACCAGTTTTAGCAACAGCAAGTGATATTCCTGCAATGGCTATGCTGCCACAGAATGGTGGTTCAACAGGTTCCATAGGTGGAATTGGTTTCTCTGCAACAGAAGTTTTCATTCCTAATAAGATAAGGAATACTTAATGGATGTTTTCCTGTTTTAAAAGTCACCTGTGTATCTATATCACTGTGCTACAAATATATGGAATATAGTTAAATAATCTGCTAATTTGATGTTAATTTAAAAGAAATTGGTCCATATTGCATTGTATTGTGCTTTTTTATTAGAAATGATTTTGCTCTCTATATGCCAGCAGCATCCATCTCTAACTGACTTTTACTGGTAATTCCTTCTCAAAATCCACTCCCTTGAGCTGGCTTCTCACCACTATCCCTCTAGTTTATGCCTACCTGCATTAGAAGTAATATCCAATCTTTCAAACACCAAGCATAAATAACTTTGCAAAACCCTGCCATTCCTTTCCCTTGTTTGGTCTCCTCCTTCATTTATCTACCTTACATTACTAGCTCACTGTGTCAGGAAGTTCATCTACCTTCTTTGTGCTAAAAAACTAATACATAATAACTAAGAGGAAAAATAATGCATTGAGGGGGCTTGATTTTTCAAATGATCTCAAAAGACAAGATTTTCAAATACTCAGTACCTACAATCTGGGCTAGATTTTCAAAAGAACTCTTGTATAGATATCAGATTTTTTACAGTGTTCAACACCTAGCTGGTCCCATTGTTGATGTTTATGACCGGACTTTTTAAAAAGATCAACATCCAATGTGCTGTGCACCTTCAAAAATCTGATTGTTCATTTTGTTTTAATGGGTGTTTCATACAGGAATAAGCAACGTTCAGCAAAATGCAAATGAAGCAGAATGCAAATATGGTACTGTAGGCCAAGGCAAACCTAAAATATGACCTTGTATCGTTTTACAGCATATCCACATACTGTACTGACACCTAGAAAACAGAGTTGCATAAGTGGGAACAGAATAAGTGAATGATCCAGTACTGAATTATATGTTTGGATTCTACTGTTTTCGAGAGAGTCTTTGTTGTAAATTATCTTTTAGTCCACCTTAAATTGAAAATATATAGATTCCATTCTAAAGTCCAGTTACTGAAGTCACACACTTGTTACTGTTTCACTTAGTCAATAACTGAGGCAGTTGACTGCCAGAAACATGTTTTCCCCCAAGAAAATAACTGTAAATGTGTCAGTTTTTGTAAGTATCGTCTTTCTGAATTTAAAACTAAGGGCTCCTCTACACATGCAGGCAAAGGCACCATGGCATCTAATGTGTGATCAACACTATCCCGCTTCCTGCCATGCCACACATGCATGGCAGGAGGCATGATTGTGGGATCGCATATTAGATCCCATCATGCCTTATTGCCAAGTTCCCCCTGCACCAGCAAGTAGCAAGCTCCCATGGCTGGGATCCCCCTCAGCTGACAGGGGTGCATAGGGTGCCTTTGCAGCAGGAAGATCGCATCAGCTGCTGTCTCCCAGCCTTGGCTGGAGCCCTATCACCTGGGGTTGAGGGTGCACATGCCGCCCCCAGCTGGGAGCTCCAATCAGCTGCTGGGGCTCCCAGCCACAGGGGCCCTGGGCTGCACATTCAATGGAGTTATTAAGTTATTACAGGTACAAAGTTATTATGCATATTTTGTATATGAAGCCAGGTACAAAGTTATTACACATATTTTGTGGAATAACTTTGTAGCTTATTCCTTTTATTATCACGCCATTAATTGCTTGAATGTATGGCCAAGTGACCCACTTAAAGCATGATTAACTAGTTAATCATGCCTTAAGTGCAATGTGTAGATGGAGCCTAAGTGATCAGTAGCATTTCTATATTTTTAAAAGTCCCACTATAACTGTTGTATGCGACAGAGAGTGCCACCTGAGGATGGACAAGATAGAGTAAGAACAGACACAATATTTGAAACATGCTCCAAAAATGGAGTATTTCAGCTGCTGACAGACGTACAGGCTTCTGCCACACATCCAGGCTTCAAAATCAACGTGGCTGCATGTAGTGGCATGCTCTCAAGCCAGAGGGTGCAATGGAGTGCTACAGTAACCTGTGCAGCAGGGACAGCCATGTCAGAGCAAACCAAAGAGTGCTCTCTGACAGTGCCCAGCACTCTTCAGTACTGACCCCAGTGTGAGCACTGAAGTAATTCAAATGCTACATCTGTCTACACCCACAGCTCTGGATGGCAGATTTAAGTTGGAAATAGAATATTTACATTAGTGTTGTCTTGTTTAATGCAGTATCAATCAAGATATTGTGCTGATGTTACAAGATAAGTAAAAACAAATTTAAGAAGAAGATAAACATAAAGGGGCATTTGACACCATTTTCTGCTACAATAAATGATGGCTCATGCTCCACTTCCACAGAAGGAAAATAATAGGAAAGAGGATGCTTCTCTAACAACAAATGCAAGGAACAAATGTACTTTTCCCTGTGCATTTATCCCCTTTCATCTCTATTAGCCACTTTCCTTTTCTCACAACATTCTCTCTTCCTCCCCTGTATCTTTTTTCTCCCCATACTGCCTTGCTGCCTCTTATCCTCCCATCGCACTGCTCCCTTCTGTTCCTTTCATTCTGTATACCCAAGTTGCCATCTCACTTCAATTTTCCCCCTTTATTACTTTCCCCACTCTCCCATTTCCCTTCTCTACTTATATTCTTTCTTCCTTCATTTCACTCCCATTTCCTTTTTTATGGTTCCATTAACCATATTTTAATAAAATTAATCAATTTAACCATTAATCACATTTCCATTAACTATTTGCTTCCTTTTCCTTTCTCATTCATGATCCTGAACAGTTGTATTCCCCCTGTCCATGACAATCAGCACCTAACCCCACCCCATACCTCTCTGCTCTTTGGCTTGGCAGTATATGTCACTCTCCTTAATGCTGAATGGTGCTCTGATAGAGATGGAAAACTGCTGCTAGTGGTCAGAAAGGAGGTTTAGGATGTATCTTCAAAAGCCATGTAAAGAAGTGCTACTAGTCTTGAGAGCATATGGGGAGCTGCAGAGGTATGCTATCATCTTTACCAATACCCATGTTGCTGAAAACAGTATAAGAAAATCCACTAAAACCTATTTTGGATGCCTTTTTTTTGCCAGCTTGTACTGCAGCAGGTGGAGATGAAATGCATGTGGGCATAGAAATTTCTGTTCCTTGTTCTTGCTTTTCAGTTTTCTTTCTTTCTTCTTCTTCCTCTACTTTCTTTGTAAAGTATTCACTGAGAGGGGGAAAAAAAACATGATGAGTGGTTTAACACAGTGTTTCTCATCCTTTTTAGTAGCAAGTACCCCCCAGCTTCTGAAAATTTTAATAAGTACCCCAACACTCAATTTTCCAGGGTATTTTATATTTACAGACTAATATGTGCCGTATGTTGGAAGAAGGGCTGCGTATATAAGGCCATGATGTGACAGATGTCTGATCTGGTGTGGGTAGGATTGCCACCTTTTACACCAGGGGTGCACAACTCAACTATGTACCCGGGCTAGAGGCGATGTTGGCCAAAGCTAGGAGGGTTGAACCCAGTGCCACGCAAAGCGTGGCACATCAAATTATTACTGGGGAATTCAAAGCATCATGCAATACACCGCACACCAAATTTTTTGCCATTGTTTTGAGGGGAGAAAGGGGTGAAAGAGAAAGGAAAAGAGGGCGAGAGAGAGTGTTGGGGTACCTGCGTACTCCCTGCCTGTGTCTCGCATACCCCAGGGGTACGCATACCACAGGTTGAGTTTAAAATTAAGAATGTTACCGGGCATATGAAGGGTAGGTATGGATGCATGTTTGGTGATAGCATTAAGACAACTCCTCAAGATTTTAGCATGGATTCCCATGTGAACTTGGGAAAGTCATTACATTTCATTGTGCCTCTTTTTGGGCTTCTGTAAATTCAGGTCCATAATTCATACCACAAAAATCAGAAATGTGCTTGGAGATCTCTGGACAGAGGGAGCAAGATAAGGGTAATGTCTATAGACTTGCATGAAGGTAATAATGCTATTTAGCAGCTCACTAATTAAACCTCATTTTTCAGCTGTTTTGATTTCCTACTGAGTTGATACTCAAAATAGATGGCTCTCTGGTTTAAGTTGTCAGTTTGGACAGTAAAATCTCTCTTAAACCCAGCAATGTTGACAGTTACTTATCCTTCCAAATTCATGCACATAACATCTTAAAAAGGAAGTCCTATTTGTTTTGTGTGGATAGTAAAGTGGCCTTGTAACTTTCCTAGAAATATCACTTTGTCCATTTGCCCAAGGGAGATTAACTACCCCAAGGTAAGTGCCCTAGATACCCTCTGAGAGTGGCTACATTTCAGGTGTTATGTATGAAATGGAAATGGAAATGAAATGTAGTGGGGTGTGGATTTATCTTGGTGCAGGGTGATTATATGACACTACACATCAGTGTTTTATTCAGGGCTTTCCTAGCTACACGGGCTCCACCATGCTAATTCTCTGACTGCAGTTCATGCCTGTCAGTCCATGATGTATTAAATACTGCATTTTAAGGAGTAAAAAGAAATGTCTGATTCACTTAGAAGAACGATCCTTTCCAAAAGGCAATTTTCAGTAATTTTTACAATTTCAGAAGATGAGGAGAGATCCTACTGCCATTCTCAGAGTGAAGAGCGGCCAGTCTTTACTCAGGTAAGCTCTCTACCGCTATACTGAAATCCCAGCCTTTGAGAAGATTTTTTGGTAAAGAATATATGTAGTTTATAATGCGATTTACATTGGATATTGCTACAAACAATATTCTCAAGACAAAGAGCCATTTTATTTTTTACAAAATCTCTTTAATTAAAAAAACAGGAGTTTTGGTACTGGGAAAATCAAAAACTGCTCAGAGGCATTTCAAAGTACTTTGTCTTAGGATTTGGTTTTTATGTTTTAGGCACAGAGAAATATGTCCCTTCCTCATTGCTGTGTAATTCCTCTAAAATGTAAAACGATTGTATAGAAAAAATATATATGACTGTTCATTAAAAAGGAATCTTTCAAGGAAGTTTAAAACCAGGATTAAAAGAAAATAGCCCACGGTAAGCATCTTATATACCCTTTGAGAGTGGCCTACTTTTAATGAAACCTCCATTAAAAAAACAGATCAGTAAATGCACCTTTTTGGGAAATTTATCTCAGTGCAGAGAATTCATCCAGGCCCTTCAAACCATGTATGTTCCCCAGTCTAGTGGCCAAAGTAGATGGAGAAACTGTCTAAGGAAGGTTCAGCTTCAGCAGGTGCTGAAGAAAAGTTCACTGGATCCATATCATCTGCTTACTGAAATCATTTTAAAGATTTCAATAGGTGTTGGATCAGCTGGTTACACGGAACCAATGTAGGTACAAATCCTGGGTGTATTCCTTCCTTGTGTCTTACACCTTTTTATCCTGTATAAAATCAGTTTATGTGACTTTGATGCCAAGTTCATGTGACTTTCTACATACAAATATATACAACAGTTGGAAATAATATAGCACAACGCTTCCAGTCACAATGAACATATCCTAAAAATATATGGAGAAAGGGTTAGGCACAACATAAGAAAAACTATGGAATAACATATTGTTTATATTTAAAATACAAGAACCTCTTTTACAACAGGAATATCAATGGAATAAATATGTAAAACCTACCCAAGCAACTTATCAATTTTACACTGGTCAGTAGGTTGCATGTCTTTGAGAATTTCATTCACCGATTCATTCACCCATTCTAGGGCAGTTTTAATAGAATCATTCCTTTCTTTGTCATCAGCATCAATTGCTTCAGGTGAAGCATTTTCAAATATATCAGAGTGAGAAGGGATCACAGTGGAACAAATCCTCTGCAAAATAATGTTAAGAGGCTTACAAACTCTACCATTGCTAACTGAAATTTCACCTAAATAGATGAGAATGAGATGAGCTTAATCATATTTTTCCCCCAATGAATGAACTGTGATCCTATTATTCTCATTTTCTATTATATTTTTCTTGGTTTCTTAAAATTCTGTTCTTCCATTCACTTCTTTTCATTCTCAAACTGTTTTACAAATCATGCCTAGGCTTTACATTTCCTTTATATTCATTTTTAGAGGGCAAAGTGAGGTTCAGAATGCTTAACAGTCTAGCTCCCACCTGCACCTCTCATCCTTGTCAAGAGACACGTAGCCTGTGCACAGACATAACTTCTGACCACTTTAAAAGAGGGTGAGTTGCTGCAGCAGCTGTTAAACTGTGACTGTTTTTCCCCATATTCCTGTAACAATACAAATGAGCTAAATCTTTTAAGCCTGTAACATTAACCTGCAACTTGAACCCTGAGATAAAACAGTTACTGTATTCACTTGAATCCAAAATGACTCTGAAATTAAAAGTTATATTTAAGAGAATTAGGAAGAACTTCTTCACAGTTAGAGTGGCCAAGGTCTGGAATGGGCTCCCAAGAGAGGTGGTGCTCTCCCCTACCCTGGGGGTCTTCAAGAGAAGGTTGGATATGCATCTAGCTGGGGTCATCTAGACCCAGCCCTCTTTCCTGCCTATGCAGGGGGTCGGACTCGATGATCTATTGAGGTCCCTTCCGACCCTAACATCTATGAATCTATAAGAATATCAATTTGTTATAATTTTCCATGTATATAATCTAATTATTGTGGGGGCTGTCCTAAATTCATCCTGCACTACTGCTGCACCAGGAAAAGCAGTTGCAGGTGGTAGCAGGGAGGCAGTAAGGGGAGAGGTAGGGGCAGTCAAGCAGCCTTGTTCCCCCTCACCTTGCCCCCTACCACCTGCTCCCCATTTGCTCCCTCTGCTCCCTATCCTCCTTGCTACTTGCTCCCCCTCATGCCTGTACCCCCTGGCACCTGGCCTCCCTCCAATGCCTGTCCCATTGCCTGGCTTTCCTTCTGCTTGGCTTTCCCCCTCCCCTGCAGCCTGTACCCCCTGCCTGCCTCCCCTACCACTTACCCTTACTCCAGCAGGCTCTATCCCTGCTCCAGCCTCGAGCATTGAGCCTGGCATGACAGTAGCAGTGGTGGTGGCAGCAGCTCTGGCCCAGGCTCTGGAGTCTGTCTGGAGTTGCTGCCACCATATTGGTTGTTACTGGGATGGGCTGAGACTGGAGCAAACATTCCCTGTGCTCCAGGCTAGAGTGGGGCTAGAGCCTGCCTAGGCCAGAGCAAAGGTATAAGGAATAGGTGGGGGGCAGAGGCTGTGGAGAGGAGGGAGGAGGTAGGGCAGGTGCAGAGGCAGCAGGGGAGCAGCTAACAGCCCCAGGTTGGTAATAGAGCCGAAGCCACAGCAGTCACCTGCCCCCTCCCTCTCCCACCTGTATTTGATTCCAAAATAAGGGGCTTTTTTTCCCTATGCTAAATTGGGGTGGGTCAGGATAAAACCTCATCTTGGATTCAAGTAAATATGGTATATTATAACATCTTATACAAGTGGTATTTTCTATTAATAAAATTGTTGCACCTATCTATGCCCACATTCTCCCATGCAGTAGTAACATAAATCAGTGGGAATCTGCATAGACATATTGGTCTGCTTTGTGTATCAGATTGCAGAATTTAACCCTAAGAGTGTGACGAACCAGGAAATCCCATTTGTTTTAACCATGAGAATGCTGTTTTAACTCTGGGGAAGTTAATGTTTTTTATTTTCCCCCCCTTGATCTTTCAGTACTAAAATGCTTTAAAAATATTCCCCTCAATATACTGTAGACCATCTAAACCAAATAAAAAAAATAAATGCTTATAAGTAACTTTACAAAAGACTCAGACTTGAATTTATTTATCCCCTCCTATGAAATGTGGATGCATGAAAATAAGTTTTTAAGAGTTATTTATCTGGCAATATTAGATGCATCTAAATTAACAACTGAGAGTTGAGACATCAGTGAGGGTAAATGACAGCAAAACATAGTAAGCTGTATTAGCCTGATGGCAAGTGAAAGGCAGGACAGATTTACACCTTAAATGAAGTAAGTGAAAGCATCATACACAACTGCTAGTGAATCATGATACAATGGACCACCTACAGTTGCAATCAAAAGTGTCATAATGAAAATGAGACCTTCAAAATGAACTCCATTTTAATCAGTCACTGACTACTGTATTTACCCTAATCCAAGATAACTTTGAAATTAAGATGACCCCCCCATAATTAGATTCTGGACATGAAAAAATTGTAACTTTATTATAAATTTTCCATGTATACAATCCAATTATTTCAGGACTGTCTTAAATAGCACTCCCCGCCCCCCCTGCTACAGTGCAGAAAGCAGAGGCAGGAAGGTCTAGGGGCCGGACCACCATCCGCTGCCCTCCTGGCTTGCCCCCTCTGCTCCCTGCCCCTCCCTGTGCTTGTGCCTGTCCTCCCTGACACATGCCCCACTTGCCTGTGCCTGCCCCCCGTGTAAATTAGTCATTTACAGGTAGTAGAGGTAAAAAAAAAAAAAAAAATCCCCAAAAACCTTGAATAATTTTCAAAGTAGATTTTAAAATGTTCTCCTTTTCTGAGCATTTTAAGTGAAGCAAATGGTCGTAGAAGCATAAAGAACTAAGGGTGGAAGGGACCTTATGAGATCATCCAGCCCAACCCCTGCCTTAGGCAGGATCATCCCTATCCAAACCATCCCATACAAATCCACTGTCTAACATCTTAGTAAGCTATAGTCAACCCTGACACAACACAAGACATAACACCCTAACCTGCCACAGGTAAAGCAGGGGAATCATGGTAGCCAGCATACTCCCTTTGGTTGTTAACATATGCCTGAGAGCTCCCAGGAAGAGGGCCAAGCCCCCACTACAGAGGAAGGCAAAACCCCCCACAGGCTGGTTACATGTGTGAGAGAACAGGAGTCTTCAGTACCTGTTGTGGAGTAGTTATCAATGGAATAATAGATGCTCATGAACATGGGCAAATACAGTGTTGATCTTGCGCTTTTATGACACTAGTTGCTATGTTTAAATGGACTGACAACCATATCATCCTAAGCTGCCAGGATGAAATACACATGTATTGTGTTCAGCCCAGACTGCCCTTGATATTTTTTTAATAGCATCATGGGAATAAAAGTCAGACATCTCAAAACCTATGAATGAAAATAAACATCCTTTTCTTTTAATATCCTCAGGCACTTATTATTTCCATAAAAACTGATCCAACTTGGGTCCTTCACTACCTCTCATTTGAACTGAAATGTAGCAAAAATGTGTTTCTCTCTACAATAATGTCATATTAAGATATGTAACAAAGCAAGATGTACCTTTTCATTGTTTTTAACTGTGCAAAATACTTCCACTTCTAATGTTGGTCGACCCACTCCATCAAGGACCCTCTTTCCAACCAGTTTGCATATTACTGGAGGTTTTGAGTATTTGGAGAAGTAGTTAGCCTTGAATGAGAGAGAGAGTTTGATTAAAAATTGGTTTCTGTATAAATCAGGTTTTCATTCTATGTTAGCATTAAATCCATTGTTGTGTAAATCCACTGTTAAGCCCTGATATTCAAAATAATTCAGTTACCCCTGTTATCTGCTTAAGAACCAGTTCAGGATTTGGGCTTATCCAACATAGTACTATTCATTTCTATTCAGCACCATGTACAAGCTCCTTGCCCACCCACTGCCCTCTAGGAGTTGCTGTATGTCTTATCTGCAAACAGAAAATTCTGTCTGTGGATAAGACATTTAGTTAAAAAAATGTGCCTCTTCTGGAAGGAAATGCAGGAA